CCACCTCTCTCCTCTCCCTCGCTCCCCTCCTTTCCACGGGGCCTCGGGACACTGAGGAAAAGCAAGGCCATGGTAAAAGATCCCAAAGCAGAGTTTTGTGCGTTGCAGCCTCTGCCCCGGCTTGAATCCTTCCCTCCCGTGCAGACACGCATCTGTGGTGCTCGCTCTTAGCAGAATTAAAAATGGCAGCCCTGTGCTTGCCTCCCGCGTTTTAAACTGCCCTGAGAGCCGGGCTTCTGGGGGCTCCGTGCCCCCGTGGCTTCCTGGCCTCACTACTGATGTCTGGAGTATGTGCGTCCACGTCCTTCGAATCCTCTCCCCTCCTCGCCAGCTCTGTGTGACGCGGGGGGCAGGTGCAGGCAGGCCGCCGGCGCTGAGTAGGACAGATATTGCGTGACTGTCTCGTCTCCTGTTCGCTGTGCCGAGGGAGAAAGCACAGATGGTAGAGTCAAAGAGGAGATCTGGGTTCGGATCCCGGCACTGCCGTTGCTGTGCCCTGGGCCAGCCACGAAACCTCTCAGAGCTCCGGGCGCCTGGCGTGTGAGCGGTCGTTGGGAGGAAGGGCGCGGTGAGGACTGAAGGCACAGGGGGCCACACTGCTTCTGCTGGGCACTGACGCGGAGGCTGGGGTACAGAGGGAACCGGCTACGACCGGCTGCTCTGGCTGGCTGGCACCCGGCATTCCCGTCCCTCCATCTCCTGTCAGTCTCTCCTCTGACTCCTAATTCCCAGGTGAGAAAGCTGAGGCTTAGACAGGGAAGCGCTCATCTGAGAACCAAGGTGCGACTCGCAGCCACCCAGAACTGCCACGATGTGCCCTGGACCCGCCCCGCGGCCTCTCAGCCCTGTGCCGGGCTCTGAGGGGTACTGAGCCCAGGCAGAAGGGCCCGGGCTGTTCCCAGCAGTGAGGCCGCCCCCACCCCAGGGGCTGGCAGGTACCTTTGGCCTTATTTCCCAGAATGCACTTGTTTTTTGTCCTCCCTCCCACACAGCCTCCCCGTCCCAAGGATTCTTCCCAGATGCTATGTCAACACACAGAGGGACCCACCGGGGAGGGGAGGTCGAGGCTGGCCCCGGCCATGTCTGTGGCTCCGGGTGAGGCCGTGTCAACACACAGAGGGCCCCACTGCAGAGGGGAGGCCGAGGCCGGCCCCGGCTTCGTGCTCCAGAGTGCACTGGGCGGCGTGTGCCTGAGCTTCAGTGCCGGGCGGACTCGAGGCCCTGGCCCTGGCCGCGCGTCAATTATTAAAGGGCTGTCTCGGGCCTGGCCTGCAGTCTGCAGGCCCAGGTCCGCTTGCAGGGAAGATTGATAAGGTTATTAGGAGCTCCAGCGCTGCTATTTTGGGCGGCATTCTTAGAGCAGGGTTTCGACCCGGGGCTGGGTGTCTGCCTCTGTACTGAATGACGCAGCGTCATAAAAAACCCTCCTCCCTCCTGTGTCTGGAGCTCACAAGTGTGCCCGCCCCTTTTGTGAGCCCCGCACCTGTGGCTCCCCAGGCGTAGGGGAAGTGGCCAGGGTGAGCTGCTCGCCGCTGTGGACTGGCCCAGCAGACGAGGTCGAGTGCAGCCGAGGCCTGGCTAACAACGCACCGTGCTGCGGCAGCTCCGCTGTGCCCACCAGCACCCCCTGGGGCTTGCACCAGGTTTTGGGTGGTGGGGTGGGGCGCTCAGTGTCCTGGTTCATTCAGGGAAACCAAGGCTCAGGCTAAAGTGCTTGCCCAGAGCTACCAGGCAGGCAGCAAGCAGACTTCATTTCTGCCGCAGAACTGGGGCTGGTCCCTGAGTGTTCTGGCGGGTGGTCCTACCCAGCCCCGCCCCATAGCTGTCCCAGGGGTGTTTCCCGCTTCGTCCCTGAAGGGTGGGCTCTGGGAACACTTCTGAGGTCTGGGGCTGCTTCATGGGGCGAGCTGCACAGACCTGGCTGTGAGCACAGCCGTGGGCCCGGCTGCCTCCCCCACGCCGGCACCTTGTAGCCCTGGGAGGGGGCTGAGTGGAACTGAAGTGCTCAGGTGGGAGCGGCCACCTGCCCGTCACACCCTGGTGACCCTGGAGAGGAGGCTGTAGGTGGGGTGGGGGAGGGGCCCGCCAGCGCGATTCCCTGGGGCTTGGGACATGAGAAGCCTGCCGAGAAAGAGGGATGAGTCTGCGCTTGGTAACTGGCCAGCTCCTTCGTGGAGACAAACAAAAGCTGCTAATATCCGCGTGGTCCTGATGCCCACACTGAGGAGCTGGAGGAGCCAGCTGTCTCCTGGGGGCCAGGAAGGAGCAGCGTCCCTGGGGAGGAGTCCGGGCCAGGCTGCGGGTGACCCCGCCGCGGTGCACGGAGGGGAGACCAGACTTTGACCTCACTGCTGGGTCCAGGTGAGCTGCAGCAGTCGGGTTGAGGGCCCTACTGTGTGCACGGGAGCTCAGGGAGTAGGGATCTACACCCCAGCTTTGCCACTGGCAAGCTGAGCGACCCAGGCCACTGACCTGACGGTTCGTGCCTCCGTCCCTCCCCTGCCCCCTGCCCCCTGCCCCCTGCCCCCTGCCCCCGGGGGCGCTGCACTGAGCAGCTGTGTAAGCCACTAGAGCAGTGGCTGCCACCCAGGGACCCCGTCAGTGCCCCAGCCATCCCCTGCCTGCTGGGGGCTACAGGCACGTGGGCCGCGGTGGCTGTGTGCAAGCAAATCTACTTGCAAATGTGGGAAACGCTGAAGTTGGGGAGAAAGCAAAGGCGCGGGGCAGGCGTTTAGCACGGCGGTCACGTCGCTGCGTGGAACGCCCACGTCCCGTTTGAGCCCCTGTTCCACTGCTTCCGGTCCAGCTTCCCCTAGTGTGCACCCGGGGAGGGGTCCCTGCCACTCAGGTGGGAGACCAGGCTCCCAGCTTCGGCCTGGCCCAGGCCTGGCTGCTGCAGGCGTTTGGGGAGTGACCCAGCAGATGGAAGAGCGCTGTCTGTCTGTCTCTACGCCTGTCTAGTAGATACATAATTTCCTGTGTGTCAGTTCTGAGAAGAAGGCTCGTTGACGGAGACGCTGAGCGTCAGGATTTCCTGCAGTGCCACCAGTCACTCAGGATCCACGCCCCTCGTGCCGTGTACGCCGTCTCCTTGACAACTGAGAACCGGTGCAAGGGCACCGCCGCTTCGCGCGTGCCCGCTGCGTGGCTCACAGACCCGTTCTCGGAGCTCTCCCGGCAGCCCTGTGCGGCAGACGTGACTGTCCCTGGGTTACTCTGGAGAAATTGAGGCCCAGGTGGTTAAACCAGGCCCAGCACTCAGCCTCCCAGCTCCCGGGCCAGCCAGCTGGACCGGGTGGCCGGAGAGGGAGTGGCAGGAGCAGCCAGAGAGCCTGCTGGCCGAGGGCTGTGTGGGGCGGCGCTGTTCCCGTGCCAGGTCCCGTGCACCCACTGAAGAGGCGGAGGGGGCCCCGCCCCTGCAAGAAAACCCAGATTGTGTGCCGCCCTGACCTGACCGTGTGGCGCGCTCGCCGTGGCTGCCGGGAAGCGGGGACCACGTGCCGAGCGCGTGTTCATTGCCAGCTCCAGGCTGCATCCTGGCCTGGCCCACAGTCAGTGTTTGTCTCGGCAGTGACAGTGTGTACCTCACCGGGCCCGGCACCTCCTGGTGACTCATCCTCCGCCGGCAGACTTGCTGGCCATTTGGAAAAGGCTGCGGAGGAGTGACGACGGGAGGTGTCAGATTGTCACCAGACATTTCCACTTCGTGATGTGTGCTTTCAGAGCCAACTCCCCTCTCCTGGCTTTTCCTGTTTTCTGCAGCGCCCTCGGGGAACCACGTTTTCCTCGCTCCGAGCTGGCAGGGCCGGCTTCCCGAGGCTCTGAGTGTCCCCTGCCAGCCCCAGCGCCTCCGCCAAGCCCCCCCGCCCTCCCAGTGGCCACAGTGGAAGGATCATGGGGGAAACCGAAGGGAAGAAAGACGAGGCCGATTATAAGCGACTGCAGACCTTCCCTCTGGTCAGGGTAAGCCCGGGGGGCGGCCGGCAGGGCCATGCAGCCTGGAGAGCGGGGGGTACCCCCGGTGCCCCACTGCTGGCCCCGATCCCGACATCCAGGAGGGAGTCACTCACTCACTCTCCCGTTCATGCACCACCATTTTGGTGGACCACCTGCTACATGCTGGCGTGGTTCTAGGCCCCGGGAGAGAGCAGTGAGCGGACGGCAAGGCCTGGCCCCCACAAGAGCAGTGCTTAAGCAACACGATCGCAGGCCAAGTGCTCCAAAGGAAACGAAGCAGGTGTGTGGGCGGGAGGAGAGGTTAGCTCCTGGAGGGCGAGGCAGCGGGCTGAGCCAGGCTCTGGGGACAGGCGCTCTCGACGCCGAGCCAGCGCGCCCAGGAAGCCCGAGGGGACAGCGAGCTGCCGCGCGTGAGACCAGTGGCCAGCCGCGGGGGTCAGCACGGCACAGGGAGTCCTGGCCGGAGTGCAGGGGGGCGCCGTGGAGGCAGCGCAGGGATGCGAGCTTCGTGCTTTCCCAGGGCCCCTCCAGCAGGGACTTCGGGCGCCAGGAGGAGATGGGGGAGCAGGGGCTGCGCCTGGAGGCCCAGGTCCTGCAGAGCAGGAGGGAGGCATGGGCGGGGCCCGCGCGTGCCCGGGCCGCTGGGGTGAGAGGAAGACGTTCACGGAGGCTGTTTTTTTTTTTCCCCCTAAACAACGAGAGAAAAGAATGATGGTGACTTCCAAGAAAGGGAAGGCGGAGGAGGCATGGGGCTGTGGGATTTATTTTTATTTATTTTAGGTTATTTTTAGCCACTAAGCGGGGTTATCAAAACGTGTGCTGAGCCAGAGAAGAGGTCGGAGCTGGGCGTGAACGTGCGTGAAGCCTGCCCTGGAGACGTCAGACAGGACTGGGGGCGGCAGGGCCCAGGGCCCCCCGTGGCTGCAAGCAGGCAGGGTCCCCAGAAGGAGGCGGGAGGCGAACCAGGAACCTGGAGCGTGGCCAGTGCCGCCCGACTTCAAGGGCAGAGGCCGTGGTGAGCCGTCTCCCCAGCCGTGCCCAGCCCCCCGCTGCAGGCCTGCGCTCAGAGTGAGGGCCGCCTGCCCAGGCCTGTGGCAGGCAGCACCTGGGTGGCAACGTCTTAAGCTTGGGACAGAGGCAGGCCAGGCAGGGCAGGTCACGGGCTGAGCCCCTCTCCGTTTGTCCCCTGTCTGTCTCTAGCACTCGGACATGCCAGAGGAGATGCGAGTGGAGACCATGGAGCTCTGTGTCACAGCCTGTGAGAAGTTCTCCAACAACAACGAGGTACTGCCGTCGGCCTGGGGTGACGTGGGAGACGGGGGGCCCAGGCCCTGCTGCCAGCCCCAGCGTCCGGCCGGCAGCGTGCACAAGGCTTCCTGGGCGGCAGTCGCAGTCAGGGCGAGCCTGGGGGAGGAAGCCGGAGGGGTCTCCACGCCATCCCTGCCCGTGGTCCTGTCGGGGGCACAGGGCACCTTTCCCAGGGCTCCGTCCCCGTGGGGAGCGGAAGCCTGGCGAGGCCTCATCCGTGCGTCCGTCCACTCACAGAGACTCAGAGCCATCTCTGTGCCGCACGCTGCTCCAGGTGCCAGGGTGGGGCCCGTAGGCTCTGAGCCGGGAGCGCCCCAATGGGTGCAGGGGAGAGAAATGGAAGTGAGTGTGTGGCGGCTGTGCGGAGCAGACGTTGGCAGCGAGAGCCCGCGTCCGTCTGCAGCCCGCCTCGCTCAGGGCCCTTTGGATGAGCCCAGCCCTCCCACCCTGTACCTGGGGGTGGCCAAGGTGCCCCTCGCTGCGAGGGTCACTTGTGGAGACAATGGCAGGAGGCACTGGGGGGCCACCTGGAGGAAGGGGGCACTGCTGGTCACACCGAAGCCTCACTGGAGGGACAGGGGACAGAGAGAAGGTCGAAGCCCTCCCCCCTGCGGCCCACTCCCAGAGGTTCACCACAGCTGACCCCGGGAGCCCGGCATGCCGTCTGGGCCGCCTGTGCGGGAGATAGGGGCCCAAGAACCTGGCCACCACCTGCTGCCTCCCAGGTGCGTTAGCAGGAGCTGGACCAGAAGTTAGCAGCCGGGACTCCAGCCAGCCCTCGGATATGGGGTGCAGGTGTCCCAAGCAGCGGCTAACCACCGAGCCACACTGCCTGCTGCGCAGGTGGAGTTTCCTGCGAGAAGGGGAGCAGGAAGCGGAGGGCTGGTGCTGTGGCTGGGAGGTGCAGCCGCTCCTCCCTAGGGCCCACTGCACCCCACGGCTGGCAGTGACGTGGGTAGTAGCCAGAGTCACACCTGGGCACAGCCGCGGCCTCCACCTCTCCGTTCACACAGCCGGGAGCCCAGGTGCAGCGCAGGACTCAGCCCGGCTGTCAGACCTGATGCTGACCGCCCCGCCCCCGGCGACGCAGCGTCCAGGTTCCTGTCGGGAACGTCCGGAAGCCCTTTCCGCAGGGGCCGTGAGCCGCGGTCTGCCGTCCTGGGCCAGCAGGCCTTGCCCTGCCAAGACCGCCCTCGCCAGGGGCCGGCGCAGGCCGCTGCCCACTCCCCCTGACAAGCACTCTCCCTTCCAGAGCGCCGCCCGGATGATCAAGGAGGCCATGGACAAGAAGTTCGGCTCCTCCTGGCACGTGGTGATCGGCGAGGGCTTCGGCTTGGAGATCACACACGAGGTGAAGAACCTGCTGTACCTGTACTTCGGGGGCACCCTGGCCGTGTGCGTGTGGAAGTGCTCCTGACGCCCCGCGCGCGCCCTGCTTCTCCTGGGGGAGCCGCGCTCTCGTCCTTTCGTCTTGCGTGCGGGCTTCCCAGGCCGCGCCCCGGGTGTGAGTCCGCGGGCGGCTCTACTCCCAGGCTGCAGCCCTCTGAGGCCCAGGGGAGGGGGGGAGATGGGGCTTTCCTCCCGCCGACCTGCCAGTGGCCCGCTCCCCTCACACCCTGGGGTCCCCGGCACTGCCGGCTCTCGAGGACACGGGCAGCTTCTCCTCTCGTCTCTGGGGATGTGGTGACCGAGCCCTCCCAGCCCCGCCCGGGCTGAGCAAGGCACCCACCGCGTCTCCCGGACCAGCAGTGCCGCAGCCCCCGGCCTCGGCACCCTCCCTCCCCGTGCACCGCCTGGAGCGCACAGCTGTGAGCCGGGGCCGGGGCTGGGGCCGGTGCGCGCAACTGCCCCAGCCGCTCTCGGCGTCACCGAGCCCCCGTGAGACGCCTGGCCAGGAGGCAGCTTCGGCAGGGACAGCTGGCCGTCAGGGACCACTCGCTCGTTTGTACTTCTCGTCTCCACCGGGTTTTCTAGATTCTTTTGAGTGTGGGGAGAAGGGTTTTAGTAGAGGGTGAACCGTATTTTACACAGCGGTCTTATTTATATACATGTCTTGGTTTTTACAATTAAAATGACCAAAAACGGACCTCTATCTGCGGCCTCCTGACCGACTGGTGTCCTCAGGGCTGGGCGCATCCTGGGAACACAGAGATGTTTCTGGATGAACAGTGAGGGTCCTACAGCCTGGCCCAGGCCCTCACCACTGTGTCACAGGGCTGGGGCCACGTGGACACTGGGATACCGTCAGGCTCTTTTTTTTTTTTTTTTTTTTTTAATTCACTTGAAAAGCAGAGTTAGAGAGGGGGTGAGACAGAGGTCTTCCATCCTCTGGTTCACTCCCCAAATGGCTGCAATGGCCAGGGCTGGGCCAAGCCGGAGCCAGGAGCCAGGAGCTGCTTCTGGGTCTCCTGTATGGGCCATCTTCCTCTGCTTTCCCAGGCCATAGCAGAGAGCTGGATTGGAAGTGGAGCAGCCAGGACTCGAACCAGCGTCCCAGGCAGCGCCTTTACCTGCTGCGCCACGGCGCCGCCCCTGCTGTCAGGTCCAGCAGATGTTCGTCCGGCGCCCCTGAGCACCCCGTGCTAGGAGCTGGGGGTGTGGGGTTGGAAAAGCGTAGATCCCACGCTCAGTCCACTCCTGCCCAGTCGTGTCCGCTGGGTGTGGGAGATGACACGCTAGGACACAGGACGGGACATTGTGTGGGCAGGCAGGGGCACCGAGCCCCGCGCAGGGCAGGGTGAGGGTTCTACCAGAGCACTAGGAGCAAGCAGCGGCTTAGGGTCTGTGACGCCCCCGTAGCTCTGGCCTTGGCCCCTGACGCCGAGCCTCAGACCCAGAAACCCCGGGCACGACAGTGCCGAGGCAGCCCCGCGCCCGGGCTGGCCTGGGAGTCCCAGCCCCTGGCCCGGTTCCACCCGTGCAAAGCTGAGGAGCCAGCGTTAGAGAGCTGTCGACAGATGCGGTGGCGCGGCCAGGCAGGGGTTTGTGGTCGGGGAGCTTGCTCTGAGCCGGGGGCAGTGGGACAGAGCCGTGGTCACTGCCCCGAGGCTGGCCGCCTGGTCCCGCGGCTGGAGCCAGCCTCTGGGATGCGGGTGGGGGCCGGCTGCCTGACCCTGGGCCCGTCCTGGTTGGAACCCTGAGGCACACTGCGCGCTGCTGGGGAGGTGGGCCAGCCGCACAGATGGGCGTGAAGGGAGCGGGGCGGGGGTGGTGCGGGAGGTGGGGCGGGGGCGCCGCGGCCTGGAATAGCTCCGGCTGATTAACCGCCTGCTTGCATCTGTTCTCTGCTTTCGTCTGTGCACGCGGGTGCCAAAAAGTGAAGTTGGCTGAGCCTGCAGCCGGGGTGCTGGGTAGGCATGCGGGTGCTGAGGGCCACAGAGCTGGCTTGGGCCCAGCCCTGCTCTTCCGAGCCTCTCTGCGCTTCAGTGGCTGTGTCTGTGAAATGGGGGTGAAAGGCCCCACCCCCAGGGTCCCTGGGAGGCAGGACTGTGTCTGGAGCAGCCACACCTCGTGCGTGCTGTGTCATTTTTTTGCGTGCTCCTCTCTTGCCGCTGCTAGGCGGGGTGCCGCCAGCCAGCCCCTGGCACAGGATGGGACTCACGGGCACGCGGTTTAGAGGTGCCCCTGGTGGCAAGCACCCTCCCGGCCCCAGTCCAGAGCTTGTACCGCTGCGCCCAGAGGGTAGTGAGGTCCCTGGGGGGCCGGGTCAGGTGACAGCACCGTGGCGGGTGTTCCCCAGCCACTCCTGTGCTTGGACCCGGGGGCGATACCCCCACCCCACCCCCCAAGACCCACGCCAGCCACGGACACCTGGCCTTCCCTGTGCCGGCCTCGCTGACCAGGGGAGGGACCTGCCAGTGACGAAGCCCCCATCTCTGCGGGCCGGCAGCTCCCAGTCGGGCGCGGGACCAGCCGAGGAGCAGAAAAGCAGGACACGGGGAAGGAGTTTGTAAGAAAAGAGAACGTGGGGCTCAGGGAATCGGGGTTCAGAGGAGGGAGCAGCTGTCGCTGCCCAGGGGGATGGGGAAGGCTTCCTGGAGGAGGTGGCGTGCCCCAGGCCCTGGCGTTTCTGGGGAGGGTTGAGCCGGGCTATGCAGGGCAGCTCACCACTGTGGAGGGAGCAGAGCCGGCAGGTGAGGCTGTGGTGGAAAGAGGAGAGGGGTGGGGGTCGCCGGACACTGGGCGCCCTCCCTCCAGGTCATGATGCCGTGTCCTCAACTGACCTGGCCCCGTTTGGGAGTTGGAGGACAACAGTATCTGGCCCCGGGTCCCACTAGGAAGACGCCCCCAGCTGGCACTGGAGCCGGGCTGCCCGGCCCCACGGCCCCCGGGCCTGGCTGCTGCGCCTCAGCCCATCCGTCCTGCGGCCGGGTGCGCCCTCTGCCCTCTGCCCAGACCTCAGCGCCAACACTGGTCCCCAGCAGCCTGTCCTGCCGCTGTCCTCACCCCGCACCCAGCCGACGCCTCAGTTGGGGGCAGCTGGCAGTCCGGTCCAGACACATCTGGAGGCCGAGTCCCAGCCGTGGGCCCCACTGGGGACTGCGCAGATGGCAGAACCGCGGGACGCAGCCAGAGCCGGGGTGCGGGCCCAGGGTGGCGAGGCAGCCATGAGGGACGGTGGGGGGCGAACCCTGGCAGGAAGTGGGCCTGGCGCCCAAGCTGCTGCCTGGTGAATGTTTAATGTGGCCTTGGCTCCGGGGTGGCGCTTGACCTACTTCCCGCCTCTCCAGCCGTGGACCCTACAGGCGGGCAGAGGACTGGCCCCAGGGGCTGTGGGGGTCCCAGCGCGCACCCACCCTGACAAGTGGCGAAGGCATCCAGCAGCGCCCACTTCCTTGGTCGGTTCTGCCCTGCCCCGCCCCCGCCCCCCGCTGGGGGGCTGTCAGTCCAGCCCAAGCCCCCACCTTGCTCCACTTTCCTTTTGTTCGCCTCGTATTTAAAGCAACCGCCTCGCACAGCCAGCTGCCGTCTTCAGTCCTGACGAAGGTGGGGCCGGGAAGCCAGGCGGCTCAGGATGTGAATTATTATTAATAACCCTGCGGAGCGTGCCAGGCCCGGCTCGGCTCAGGCGCGCCTGTCGGGGCCCCCTCTTCCCCGATTCAGCAGGCACCGGTGTTCGCCCAAGCCCAGCTCAGAGACCTCCGCCCGGGCTGCAGCCACTCTGCTCTGGGTCTCGTCCCCCACGCGCTTCCCAGTCTCTGGAGGCACCGGGGAGATGGGGGAAGGCGGCCGTGACCCTGAACCTGCCGCGAAGCCGGAAGGGCCGATCTGGGCTCTGAGGCTTGGGCCACGAAGACCGGCTGAGCTGGTGGGTGGGTTTATTACCTGCAGCCAGTGAGGGTCCCAGGCAGGTCCCAGACCCTGTGAGCTCCTCCTGAGCCAGGCAGGACCCCCTGCCTCATAATAGCAGGTGCGTGTGGGGACTCTGGTGTCGCCCACGCGGTCCCTTCACCCTATGTACTCATCTAGCCTCAAAACGGCCAGGGGAGCTGGCGGGGGGTCCAGGTTCCTGTGTACCCTGACCAGGGGGGTGGGGTCTCCATGGCACGACACGGCTCACAGACATGGTAAGAGTGACGCCGGCTCCTGGAGGCCGCCTCCCCCACTGCACCCCTTGGGCCCCTGTACTGGCAGTCACTATGTCCCCCCGTGCTGTGCACACCTGCCCACGTAACAGATGCCACCGTGTCTCATTTCTGCACGCACCCCGGTGCCCAGCACAGGACCTGGCGTGCACGGAGACTGCGCCCTGACTGACGAGGATGGATGTGCACCACGGGCGTGCAGAGGCTTCCCCAGGAAGCTCAGGGCGTCCGGACACATGGGGCTGCAGGGACTGGGCCGGGCTGAGTTGCCCTCTGCCAGTCCCCAGGCCCCGCACACAAGGCCTCGGGTTTGTCGGGGGCTCCCAGAGAGGCAGCTGCAGGGTCGGCGGCAGCGAGCGAAGGACCAGCCTGGCCCTGGGCCCCGGGCCCCTGACGACAGCTGCAGGCTCTTCGGGAGGTGGCCCTGTGCTGCTGGTGTCTCCCGCCGTCACTCAGCGCATGTTGCACTCACGAGCTCGTGAGCACCCACCCGTCGGGAGACGTCCCCATTGCAGTCTGCCGGTCCCCAGGGCCTCCTGGAGGGACCCCAGCAGGAGCCCGGCTGCAGAGCCCCGCCACGCAGCAGCTCCCTGCCCTGCAAGCTCTTCAAGTCTGGAGCCCTCCCGGTAGCCAGGGGCCTGAGTTACGCACCCCTTCCCGAGGCTTAGCACAGGGGCCGGTACACAGCTGGTGTTCAGTAAGTGCCGGGCATTCATTTGTTCACTCATCAAACCTTCCCACCTATTTTTTTTTTTAAAAAGATGTATTTATTTATTTGACAAAGTTATATAGAGAGAGGTCTTCTTTTTTTTTTATTTTATTTATTTATTTATTTTTTTTTTTTGACAGGCAGAGTGGACAGTGAGAGAGAGACAGAGAGAGAAAGGTCTTCCTTTGCCGTTGGTTCACCCTCCAATGGCCGCCGCTGCAGCCGGCGCACCGCGCTGATCCGATGGCAGGAGCCAGGAGCCAGGTGCTTTTCCTGGTCTCCCATGGGGTGCAGGGCCCAAGCACCTGGGCCATCCTCCACTGCACTCCCTGGCCACAGCAGAGAGCTGGCCTGGAAGAGGGGCAACCGGGACAGAATCCAGCTCCCCAACCGGGACTAGAACCCGGTGTGCCGGCGCCGCAAGGTGGAGGATTAGCCTATTGAGCCACGGCGCCGGCCCGAGAGAGGTCTTCTACCAGCTGGTTCACTCCCCAGATGGCCGCAACAGCCAGGAGCCAGGAGCTTCTCACAGGTCTCCCACGTGGCAGCGGCCTAAGCACTTGGGTCATCTGCTGCTGCTTTCCCAAGCGCATTAGCAGGGAACTTCTTAATTTTTTTTTTTTTTAAGCAGGAAACTTGATCGGACTTGACCTGGTGCCCATAGGGGATGCTGGCACCACAGGTTACCTGCCACGCCACAGCGTGCCCCCACCCCCAGTCTTTGTGCCGGGTTCTGCTGGGACCACAAATGGTGCACCCTGGACAACTTGCAGTTAGGCCAACGTGGGAACCGGCGAGGACAGCTCCATGTGCAGAGCGCCATTCCTGGGACCTGAGGGCCAGGAGGAGAGGAGGCGAGTGAGGCAGAGCCACAGGTGTGCGCAGGAGAGCTGAAGACAAACAAGGCCACCTGGGCAGCCAGAGGGAGGGGGCCACGCTGGTGGGGGCCAACAAGAGATGGCTCTGCAGAGGCTGGCGCTGTGGCACAGTAGGTTAAGCTGCTGCCTGCATAACATATGGGTGCCGTTTTGAGTCCCGGCTGCTCCACTTCTGATCCCTGCTATGGCCTGGGAAGGCAGTAGAAGATGGCCCAGGTGCTTGGGCCCCTGCACCCACATGGGAGACCATTCAGATGGAGTTCCAGCCTCCTGGCTTTAGCCTGGCCCAGCCCTGGCCAGCGTGGCTATTTGGAGAGTGAACCAATAGACCTCTCACTGTCCTCTCTGCCTTTGAAATAAATAAATGCTTTCTAAAAACTAGGAGTAGAAGCGGGTGGCGCTGGAGGAGGTGGTCGTGTCCCCACAGCAAGCCCGGCTGCCCCAGGATAGAGAGAGGCGCTGAGCTGGGAGAGCCGTGTGCCGCGTCCCATGGAAGGTGGGATCAGGGATGCATGGGGGGCGTCTGTTCTTCCCTGCCCGCCTCAGCTCAGCGCCCTGCATGGTGGCTCAGGTACCCTGTGCCTGAGTGATGGGAGCCAAGCCCCGCCTTTCCCCTGAGAAGCGTCCAGGAGGCCAGAGCCAGGATGGGGCTGTGCACATGGCTGGACAGCAGCCACTCCTGCCTGTCCCGCCGGGTGAGCGGGGGCAGGTGGGGGCTGCAGGCCCCTCGGTCCCAGACTTCCTCCCTCCCGCCTGCTCCTGAGGCAGCAGCTGGCTGGGGCCACCCCCACTGATGTGGCAAGCTGAGTCCCATGGGCCACAGGTGCCAGGGGCCCCGGAGGAGACGAGGCCGCAGTGCCCGGGACTGGCCTCGGAGCTGGGCCTGGAAGGGATTTCAGTAGGTGGGGTCCAGGCATTAGGGCTAAGGAGTTAGGAGTGGGGAGTGGGCAGAGCTGAAGGCGGGCTGGGAGCGGCACACAGGTATGACTGGGCCAGCAGCAGGAGCCGTGGAGGGCTGGCCGGCTGGTGATGCCACGGGGACAGGCCTCCTCTCCCAGCTCGGGGGCCTCGCACTGCGCTGTCGGCACAGGAGCAGCTCCTGATCGATCCCACTCCCGGCTCTGCCTCGCCCAGCAGGGGCCATGGAGCCTAATCCGGCTTAACCCCTAGCCCGAAAGTCCCACTGCCCCCCGACGAGACCCCCGTCTTCAACCTGGCCTGCAAGGGCCAGCATGGCCTGGTCCCTCCACCTCCCAGCTGGGCCCTGACCCTCGGGGTCTGGGGTCCTGGGATGGACAAGGTCCAAGCCGAGCTGGTGGAGCTCCAGGGCCCACCCCCCCGGAACACCTGCCCCTCCGCCACCTCCACTTCCACGTCAACCAGGATGAGCATGAGTTGGGCCCCCCGAGAACATTGTGGCCGCAAACATGCTCAAGGCCACCTCCAATCTCCTGCCCTGCTCCGGGTCTGACGTATCTCTCTGACCTCATGTCCACCCTGCGGCTCACAGCCCTAGCTGCCCATGGTGTGCCGGCCGGGGCAGGCCCTCTTCAAGCCCAGGAGGTGAGGCACTGCGGTTGGCTCGGCCCGGCAGCAGGCTTGTCTCAACGCAGCTGGCGGTGCAGGGCGGCCTCTAGTGGCCACATGTGGGCACAACATGGCTCACCAGTACAGGGTGCAGAACGGGGCTGGCTGGGGGGCTCACCTTGGCCTTCTGCCAGGCCCCCGCGCCTCCATGCTCTGAGCCCACATCGCCCGATCAGTGCTCCCAACCTCAGAGGGGTGCTGTGAGGACAGAGGCGAAGGGGCTCAGGATGTGACCCCACTGGCAGATTGCCACCTGCACTTCTGACCCTAGCCCCCCACTACCCCTCCCTCAAAGGGTTTTTCAAGGCCTCCACCTGGACACACAAATCCTCAAAACCTCCCTCCATGCTGGGGCCCCACACTGAGCTCCTGTCTCTGCTCAACCCCAGGGTCAAGGTCACAGAATCTGATTGGATAATTCTTGACACAATAAAATAAAAGGGAAGCTGACATTGTAGCTCAGCAGGTTAAAGCCACTGCCTGTGAAGCCAGCATCCCACATGAGTGTAGGTTTGAGTCCCAGCTGCTCCACTTCCAATCCAGCTCCCTGCTATGGCCTGGGAAGGCAGCAGGAGACGGCCCAAGTGCTTGGGCCCCTGCACCCACTGGGAGACCTGGAGGAGGTTCCAGCCTCCTGGTTTCTGCTTGGTCCAGCTCTAGCTGTTGTAGTCATTTGGGGAACGAACCAGTGGTTGGAAGATCTTTTTCTCTCTGTCTCTATCTCTCTGTACTTTGCCTTTCAAATAAATTTTAAAATCCTTTTTAAAGATTTTTTGCAAGTGCTATAATATTTTTCAATCAGAAGATAGATATGGAGGGTCAACGTTGTGGGATGCCGACATCCCATGTGGGCTCCCGTTTGAGTTCCAGCTGCTGCACTTCCAATTCAACTCCCTGGTAATGCACCTCGGAAAGCAGTGGAAGACGGCCCAAGTCGTTGAGCCCCTGCATCCACACGGGAGACCCAGATGGAGTTCTGCACTCGTAGCTTCTGCCTGGCCCAGCCCCAGCCATCACAGCCATCTGGGGAGTGAACCAGCAAGTAAGATCTCTCCCTCTCTCTCTAACTCTGCCTTTCAAATAAACAAATTTTAAAAAAAGGTACACACAAAAACATTCCAGCCAGAATTATATTTGTATTTATATCAACAAAGTTACAGAATATAAATTTTACATTTTTTGAGGAAGAAGGGACCCATGAAAATCTTGGAGCCCAGGGTCCCTCTGGGGCGCATCTCTTGGTGTTGTAACCATCTGGCCATGTGCCTGCCTTCACCACCAGACACGGGGCCTCTGGACAGGCAAGAAGTCAGCATGGGCTCAATAAACAAGTGCTTTTACATTTTTAAAGAAATATTTATTTACTGGGGCCAGTGCTGTGGTGCAGCGGGTTAAAGCCACAGCCTGCAGCACCGGCATCTCATATGGACACGGGTTCAAGTCCTGGCTGCTCCACTTCTGATCCAGCTCTCTGCTACAGCCTGGGAAAGCAGCAGAAGATGGCCCAAGTGCTTGGACCCCTGCACCCGTGTGGGAGACCTGAAAGAGGCTTCTGGCTCCTGGCTTCAGATCAGCTCAGCTCTGGCCGTTGCGGTCATTTGGGGAGTGAACCAGCAGATGGAAGACTTTATCTCTCTCTCTCTCTCTCTGGCTTTATCTCTCTCTGTAACTCTGTCTTTCAAATAAATAAAATAAAACTTTAAAAATATTTATTTATGTATTTAAGAGATAGAGTTACAGAGAGAGAGAGAGGGAGAGAGAGGGCTTCCACCTGCTGGTTCACTCCCCAGTTGGCTGCAATGGTTGAGCTGATCTGAAGCCAGGAGCCAGAAGCCTCTTCCATGTCCCCCATGTGGGTGCAGGGCCCAAGCAGGGCACTGCTTTCCCAGGCTGTAGCAGAGAGCTGGATCGGAAGTGGAGCAGCCGGGACTCGAAGCGGTGCCCGTATGGGATGCCGGCACTGCAGGCAGAGGCTTACCCCCACTACACCACAGCGCTGGCCCCCAAGTGCTTTTA